TATATCTTTGTTGATGAGTTAAAATTGTTGAGATATATTTATTGATATAATAATAAATCAATATTCTACGATAGTCCTACTGGAGATGAAGACATTGTTATTTGCAAACAAATGTTTCTAAACATACTCACAACTTACAATGTCTCTCATGTCATACTAATTTATACTTCTGTTTCATCAAGTCGGACATTGACTAAATCATCGAATTCTTCCAAAAATGATGTCTTCCCTTTTGGTTATGACTCACAAATGGTTGAATGTCATAATTCTCTCCAAAATTATCGATGATTTTTCAATCTCGTACACATTCATTAGTATACGTACACGATTATTTTAATTAACTGAATTTTTATATTAGCTCCACGGTAAATAGAGTGTCACCAACATCTCTGACATGTCATATCCCATATTTCTCAACAAAAATTCAGTCCATCTATTGTAATGTAATTTTTCCTACTACCTTTACTATCGTTTTTAATCGTCATCTTCAACACCCTCTTCGTCATCCCCAATCTCTTTCTGTTCATCCTCTTTATCGTCCTCGACTTCTTCTTCCTCATCTACTTCCTCATTGTTTTTATCTACATTTGGTACCTCAAATATGGTTTCTGTTGTGTTTTCATCTCTAACCCAAGGTTAGTTTCATCAGCAAGGTCCCACATAATGTACATAATATTCACACTTTGCTTATCGGATTGGACAAAATGACATAAAAATGTTTACACTTAGATCCCTACTATGAATAAAAAAAAATATTCGCATTGGTGTTGTTTAGAAGGGAACCTATCAACACAAGAGGATCAAGTACTTGGTATATTACAATAAAATTATATGTGGTTCTGTTGAAGAGAATTATGGTCTTTTTAGGAATTTTTGTAATGTTTGGTATCTACGATGGTGCATACGGCGAGTTAGCCAAATATTATGTATTTAGTACGATATATATGATATTTTTTTGTTTTGATGTTGTTATTTCTATTTAATTGTTATTTTGAAATTTTTTAGTAAGTGTTATGTTATACGATATTATTTGTTGAGAATTAATAATATTTTAAACTAAACCCGTAGACGTACACGATAATATTGAGATACACGTACACGTGTACGACCTCTCCAAACAGTTACATCCTAAAAATGCCTAAATCACAGAAGTCTTATACTATGTACGTACACAAAAATATTTATTGGAGCGTTCATGGTACAACATTAATTTAATTTTTTGACATCAAAATTAAGTTATTATGTCGGTTATTTGTATGACTGTATTTTTTTCATGTGTTGTTCATACATGATTTGAATTTTTTGTTTTTATGGTCAAAAAATATTTGAAACGTAAATATACAAATTATTTAGATATTTACGTACATATATACGCAGACATTACTATACGAACACATTACTACCGTGTACGTACACATTACTACCGTGTACGTATATATTATTACCGTTACGCACATATGTGTATATGATATTGCTAATCGTGAATAGTCTTCGATGATAATAAATAAAATATTATTTAAAATAGATATAAAAATATGAAAATGGGTCTTAAACAATAGAAAAAAAAAGAATTTTAACTAATAGTATAAAAATAATAAATATTTATAAAATGGAAGAGCGAATCATCTACTGACAAGTGTTTAAGATTTTCAAACCACACACGGCTCTGTGTCACGTTAAAACATATTATTCCTCAATATTTTTCTTTAGTTGTGAGGTTTATTTCTACTGCTTCTCGTATTTGACATATGATTATGTAAATTGCGTAACAGAGCTGGAGTTTGTGAATCTCATTAGAGTCAATTTGTGTGTTGATCATAGTTGGTTTCACTTATTTATTGAAAACAAATTATTAATATTTTTTTAATTGAGTTCGTAGAAAACTTGTATGAAATTGGTAAGATATTTTTGGTAGAAATATGTCCTGAGTTTTTTCTATTTACGTGTATGTAGTTTACGGTATACACAATATTGATTATAAAATGGATATGTACTTCTGTTAGATTATGTACTATTGTGGAGACGGTGTACGTAATAGTTATAGAGTTTGTATTTTAGTTTTTCGACTTCCAAATACGCTAATATAAGCTAGATTTACAAAATCAATAAATAAATTAAATGTAAAAAATCAAAAGATTATAAGAAAATTGTGAACAATGGCCATAAAATTAAAGTTGCTGAAGAAGAAATCAGGTTAAAGATGAGTACAAAACTAGAATGATGCCTTTGAGTATATGGACGTGTACGTCTTTCACAGTATGTACCATTGTTGAGGCAACATACGTGTAATATTTACAAATTCTTAAACTGCAACATTGGTTAATTCAACAATCGTACTCTGACTTAGGTAAAACAGATCTTCCAATACTAAATTGCACACAATTACCATTCATACGATGTGATTTTGAAATATTCTGAATTCTTGACAACTTGAGCTGTCAAATGCCATGGACAAGTATCATCAACGCAAACCATCTCCAATTTTGTAGGACATGACCTAGATTGCTTTTAGCAAAAGAATTGTTTGATTGCGAGATAAGACATTGTTTGTTGTATGACTTTTCTGTTCTTAAAAACACTTCACACTAAAAACCTCGCATAATGTACGTACAAATTCCGTGTACGTCATATTTTCCTTAACACGTACACAGCGACCAAAGATGCCTTCCTCTGGTTCAAATTTCTATTTTTCTTCTTTGCATCTCCACTCACCCACCGTAGTAAATACGGGAATATCCATTACCCACCTGCATCATAAATTCAGCAGAACCCCATTAAATGCAACTCAAAACATGATTATATCTACAAAAAACAAAAAGAATTTCCAAGTACACACTTTTAAACATATATATCCTCATTTAGCATTTTCAACAAACAAAATTGGAAATAAAATTTATGGGTTTTTATATAAAAAACAATGTTGATTTCGAACACAATCAAGATCCTACTGTGTTATAACAAAAAACTTCTTAACCAACTTGATTACTTACACGATCAATGCTTTTCTTGGCTCCAAACTTTGTAAATCAACAAGATCAAAACTTCTCCAGCATCACATTCGTTGAGACTAAGTTGTTTGTTTGATGGTTCATGCTTATCTCTTACAATTTTTCAAACGTATAAACTAATATTACAACAAGTAATGATGAGTTTTGCATTAATTGTGACAAGAGTCATGTCTCAACTTTTTGGGCATTAAATACTGATGTCTCTTTATTTTTTAATGTTATTACTCCCCTTTTTCACTGTACAGCCGCACAAAACATTAAATAAAAAAATTATCTTAGCCTAACCGGAACAGTGTACCTAACTGAACCGCATAATTGAACCGTACACGGAACAGTACGTCGTTACGCTGGCAGGGGTAAAATGGTCAGAATTTGGCTAAATTGTCAAAACATGAGAACCAATTCTCACTTTGCCAAACCATGAAAATAAAAGTTGGTCTTCTGCCCTGGCCTGCAATTTACCCTTAAAACAATGATAATTCAACCCGTTAACTTCAAAATGTTTGAATAAACTTATATGTGCGCTTGCTTATTCTGACCATAAAACAAGGAAAAGAAAAAAACTTATCTGCTAAGACTTCATATATATGAATCGAAAGATTCTAACTATAATCAGGAAGTTTTACTCGTATACGAAACCCCCTCCAATATATTATTGGTTATGTAAATTAACAAATCGATCTATCTGTTTAATAACGCAGGATTTAAAATTTGCAACCCTTTTTTTTTTAAACGAGGGGACAGATTAATATCAGTCCGTGACATCTAAATTTTGATTCGAAACGCCGCTCAGAAAAGTATTATGATAAGTGGCTAGTTTTACATGCGTAGTTTATATATGTAGCTAGATAATAGTGTTGTCAATAGAATCTTTCTCAATTCAAAAAAAAAAAAGTGTTGTCAATATATAAAATAAAAACAATTGTATATGTTTCGAGGTCAGATCGCTTGTAAAGATATCGAAACTTAAATATTTTAAAATTCATCGGATTTTTTTTAATAAATTAATACGTATACGTTATATACTCTATATATATGTTTATACCCAAAAAAGAATGGACCGAGTATGGTATAGTATTACGACAAAGTACGCCGTAGCAATCCAACTACCGAACACTTTCTCTTCAGTCGCTTTCGTTTTCGCGACACGTCCAATTCCATTGTTCAATTCTTTCTTATATTCTCTACTTTTTTCTCCTGTTTTTTTTTTTTTTCAATTCAGTGTAAATAATTCTAAAATAAAATTTGTTATAGTCTTGGTCGTTGTCTTTTACACTCGTGTTATAAATATAAATGGAGGGTTACCGTGGAGTTTTAGATAGTATTAGATTCCAACATTAAAACTTGAACCGGAAACGAATATATAGTTCAAATTTTCTTTTGATTTTACTTCTATCCATATTTTTGCTCACGTAATTTCTAGAAGTAAAAAGAATTTAAAACAGAAGTTGACGGGAACGTCACATGTCTAAGGTCGGAACAGAACGTAGCTTTAGTTCTGTAGACACAATTAATATGTTTCTTCATCTTACACCTTTTGTCTCTTTCCCTCTTTTTTTTTTTCTTTTCACTTCCCTCTAGGTTTTGTCTCTTCTTTTATTTTTAAATTACAAATGTAAAAATTTGATCTTCTTGACTATTATACTAGTTGTATGAACATGCATATATTGTAAAATTTCTTTGATCTCTTTGTCTCAACCAAAATCTTTCTGTGATCTCTTTGCCCCAACCAAAATCTTTTTATCCCTTTAGTTTACTATATGCTCTATATGTAATGTTAAGTAGTAGGCTTCTTTTAAAAAAAAAAAAAAAAAAAAAAAATGTTAAGTAGTAGGCTTCATTTTTTCTTTCCACGATTTGTGTAGGCTTGTGAATTTTTTAAAATATAATCAATAAGTATAGGCTGGGCCCGTAGTTTATCAAAAACTAATGGGCCAATTCCGTTACATATGGGCCTGAATTTCTTTCAAAGCAAACATTAATTAATCTATTTTATTCAAAGAAATATCCATCGTCGAAGATGGCTTCGTCACCACTTATCGCCACGTCACTACCGCAGAATCAGTTAACCACCGCCACCGCAACCGCCAGATTCCGCCTTCCGCCGCCAGAGAAACTTGCAGTTTTAATCGACAATTCGAATTCAGTGGATGAAGTGCTCCAAATCCACGCAGCTATTCTCCGTCATAATCTCCTCCTCCACCCTCGTTACCCAGTTCTAAACCTCAAGCTCCACCGTGCATACGCTTCTCACGGCAAAATTCGCCACTCGTTGGCCTTATTTCACCAGACGAACGATCCAGACTTGTTCCTCTTCACCGCCGCGATCAACACTGCCTCCATTAACGGCCTCAAAGACCAAGCTTTCCTGCTTTACGTTCAATTGCTTTCTTCTGAAATTGTCCCGAATGAGTTTACTTTCTCGTCGATTTTGAAATCTTGCTCAACTAAGTCCGAAATTGATCCATACCCATGTTCTTAAATTCGGATTGGGGCTTGATCCGTATGTAGCGACTGGTCTCGTCGACATTTATGCGAAAGGAGGAGATGTGGTATCTGCCCAGAAGGTGTTCGATAGAATGCCTGAGAGAAGTCTCGTTTCTTCTACAGCTATGATCGCTTGCTATGCAAAGCAGGGGAACGTTGAGGCTGCGAGAGCTTTGTTCGATAGAATGTGTGAGAGAGACATTGTTTCTTGGAACGTGATGATTGATGGATACTCTCAACATGGGTTCCCTAGTGACGCTCTGATGCTTTTTCAGAAACTTTTGGCGGAAGGTACACCGAAACCTGATGAAATAACCGTTGTAGCTGCTCTTTCAGCTTGTTCGCAGATTGGAGCGCTTGAAACTGGTCGTTGGATCCATGTTTTTGTCAATAGCAGTCGCATTAGGTTCAATGTTAAAGTGTGTACGGCTCTGATTGATATGTATAGCAAATGTGGGAGCTTGGAAGAGGCAGTTTTAGTGTTTAACGATACTCCAAGAAAGGATATTGTTGCGTGGAATGCGATGATTACTGGTTACGCAATGCACGGTTGTAGCCAAGACGCGTTGAGATTGTTTGATGAGATGCAGGGGATCACAGGGTTGCAACCAACGGATATAACTTTCATAGGAACACTTCAGGCTTGTGCTCATGCTGGTTTGGTAAACGAAGGGATAAGAATCTTTGAGTCAATGGGACAAGAGTATGGGATTAAACCCAAGATCGAACATTATGGATGCTTAGTTAGTCTGCTCGGTCGTGCTGGCCAGTTAAAACGGGCTTACGAAATCATAAAAAACATGAACATGGAGGCTGATTCTGTCTTATGGAGTTCTGTTCTCGGAAGCTGTAAAGTTCATGGAGAATTTATGTTAGGCAAGGAAATTGCAGAGTATCTGATTGGACAAAACATCACAAACTCAGGAATTTATGTTCTTCTTTCGAACATATATGCATCCTTGGGTGATTATGAAGGTGTTGCAAAAGTGAGGAACTTGATGAAGGAGAAAGGTATAGTGAAAGAGCCCGGTATAAGCACAATAGAAATCAATAACAAAGTTCATGAATTCCGAGCTGGAGATAGAGAACACTCGGAAAGCAAAGAAATTTACACAATGCTAAGAAAAATCATCGAGCGGATCAAGTCTCACGGTTATGTTCCAAATACAAACACGGTCTTGCAGGATCTTGAAGAGACAGAGAAAGAGCAATCTCTACAAGTTCACAGCGAGAGACTCGCGATTGCATACGGTCTAATCAGTACCAAACCAGGAAGTCCCTTGAAAATATTCAAGAACCTACGAGTGTGTTCGGATTGTCATACGGTGACAAAACTGATATCGAAAATCACAGGACGGAAAATCGTCATGAGAGATCGGAATAGGTTCCATCATTTCACAGATGGCTCTTGCTCTTGTGGCGATTTCTGGTAAAAACCTAACACTACACATTGTTATTCTGTACATTAAAAGAAGATCCTAGTGAACAAATATACTTGGATTATCCAATCAAGAATGTCTCTCATGGTAATTCTGTCGAACACTTGGAGAGCATTATGTGTGATGTTAATTTTCAAATTTCCTTGAGGAACAAGACTTCACTTTTATAAGCAGGAAGATAGAATCAAAGTCAGATTTTGCTACTTCTAGAACATTGGACTAATCTATTGGTCAATGAGTCAAATAGTCAACACCAAAATTAAAATTGGACTTTGTTTATTAATTTCTTCCTAATCTATTTAACCCCACAAAAATTTCCAAAATTGCTTCACTCAACCAAATAGATCTAAACATGGAAACCAAAATCCTAATTTCCTCAGTTCTCTTCATTATTATCTCTCTCAGATTCTTGATCGGAAAAATCATACGAAAGCCAAATCTTCCTCCGAGTCCGGCATGGTCGTTACCGGTGATTGGTCATCTCCGTCTCCTCAAACCACCGATTTATCGCACTTTCCTTTCACTTTCACAATCCCTAAACGATGCTCCGATCTTCTCCCTCCGACTCGGTAACCGACTCGTTTTCGTGAACTCGTCGCACTCGATCGCCGAGGAATGTTTCACCAAGAACGACGTCGTACTCGCGAATCGCCCAAACTTCATCCTCGCTAAACATGTCGCGTACGATTACACAACCATGATCGCAGCTTCTTACGGTGACCACTGGCGTAACCTCCGCCGCATCGGCTCCGTCGAGATATTCTCCAATCACCGGCTTAACAGCTTTCTATCTGTTCGTAAAGACGAGATCCGGCGACTTGTGTTTCGTCTTTCTCGGAACTTTTCACAAGTAAGTGAGCTTTAAACTTAGTTAATTAGATCTTAATCACGAATTTGGATTTAAATAAATGATATGATTTTATTCTAACTATACTCTGTTTTGTGGACTCTGTTCTGGCATTGACTCAATTATAAATATTTGTAGGAGTTTGTGAAGGTGGAGATGAAATCGATGTTATCTGATTTAACATTCAACAACATTATCAGAATGGTGGCCGGAAAACGTTACTACGGAGACGGTGTTGAGGATGATCCGGAGGCTAAACGAGTCCGCCAGCTTATTGCGGATGTGGTAGCTTGTGCTGGTGCCGGAAACGCTGTTGATTATTTACCGATTTTGCGGTTAGTTTCAGATTACGAGACACGGGTTAAGAAGTTGGCGGGTAGGCTCGACGAGTTCTTGCAAGGATTGGTTGATGAGAAACGAGAAGCTAAGGAGAAAGGAAACACGATGGTCGATCACTTACTTACTCTGCAAGAATCCCAACCGGATTACTTCACTGATCGTATCATCAAAGGAAACATGCTTGTAAGTATCCGAAAAACTCGAACCAATAAAGATTTAGGTTCATTATTCGATTTTCAAGCAATTCTTTAGATCACTCTTGTCACATTTTGGTATGGAACGTGTTAGTTTAGTGACGTGTATGTGTAAAATTTGCAGGGTTTGATTCTAGCAGGGACCGACACATCAGCGGTTACGTTAGAATGGGCATTGTCGAACCTGTTGAACCATCCGGAGGTATTGAACAAGGCGAGAGATGAAATCGATAGAAAGATAGGTTTAGACAGGCTTATGGACGAATCAGACATCTCAAATCTACCATATCTCCAAAACATTGTATCTGAAACGTTGCGCCTTTATCCTGCGGTTCCCATGCTTCTTCCTCACGTTGCCTCGGAGGATTGTAAAGTTGCAGGATATGATATGCCGCGTGGCACGATGCTATTGACCAATGCATGGGCTATACACAGAGATCCTCGGCTATGGGATGATCCAATGAGCTTCAAGCCAGAGAGGTTTGAGAAAGAAGGAGAGGCTCAGAAGCTAATGCCGTTTGGGTTAGGAAGAAGGGCGTGTCCTGGTTCTGGACTGGCTCATCGGCTAATAAACCTGACTATTGGATCATTGATTCAGTGTATGGAATGGAAGAGGATTGGAGATGAAGAAGTGGATATGAGTGAAGGCAAAGGACTTACAATGCCTAAAGCCAAGCCTCTGGAAGCCATGTGTAGAGCACGTGCCTCTGTTGTTAAACTCTTCAACGAGTCCGCTTGACTTTTAGACTTTTTTTTAGTAATGTCTATATATATATATATACTTTAGATAACGACTTAATGTTTGTATGTTTTTTTTTGTTTCTTTTTGTGAAAAAGTTATGTTGTAAGTTATATGAAAATATTGTGGCTTGTAAACGCAATATTTGTGTTATTGGTTTCTATCGGACGCTTGAAAGGCATATTTTCCGTTTACAGTTCTCACACGTTGAACAATGCTGATATGTAATAAAATTCATGAAGATAAAAATCAAAACCAAAATTTTCTTTTGGATATATAAATCTACTAGTAATAAGTCCATGTGCAGTTAAAAATTTGAGATTTGAATTTTTTCAAAATATATTTAGATATTATTAACCTCATATATTATATTAATAAAATATAACTAATTAATAAAATTGTATATATTTAAAATGTAACTTGATAGGTTTTAAAAGATATTAATTAGAAATCTTCTAATGTAACATAAAATATAAAATAAATATTTAAGTTAAAATATATTACAAATATTAAACTACATTAAAAAAAAATAAGTGTAACAAAGTGATTTTACCAAAAAGAAAAAGAAAAAGTGTAACGTTTCGTCAATGTGTAAAAAAGTCTACTTAAAATATCAACAAACAATAAATGTGACACATGAAATTCATGTAACATTTTCCTCAATGAGTCCATTTGTCAAAATCAAAAATTGGTTTTTTGTTTAACCAGTTTGTTTCTTCTGCTTTTCAATCTATTTAAGGCTTTTAAGCACACGAAATTTGTCAACTTCATCACTCACCAAAATCCAACGGGAAGAAGAAGATCAAGTATGGAAGCAGTAACCCTAGTTTTCACATTCTTATTCATAATTCTCTCTCTCACATTCCTTACCGGAAGAATCAAGAGGAAGCTCAACCTTCCTCCAAGTCCTGCATGGGCGTTACCGGTGATCGGTCACCTCCGCCTTCTCAAGCCACCACTCCACCGTGTTTTCCTCTCCGTCTCTCAATCTTTAGGCAACGCTCCGATCATCTCCCTCCGTCTCGGCAATAGACTCATTTTCGTTGTCTCTTCACACTCAATCGCCGAGGAATGCTTCACTAAGAACGACGTCATACTCGCGAACCGACAAAACACAATTTCTACCAAACACATCTCATACGGCAACTCAACCGTGGTCTCAGCTTCGTACAGCGAACACTGGAGAAATCTCCGGCGCATCTGCGCCTTAGAGATATTCTCGGCTCATAGACTCAATAGCTTTTCCTCTATTCGCCGCGATGAGATCCGGCGGCTTATAGGTCGTCTCTTAAGGAACTCTTCATACGTAAGTGAAGTCTTTGTTTTACCTTAGTCAAGTTTTAATATTAAAAATAAAAAATAATATGAAAATAATTCTCAGCAAAAGATGCCAAATTTGCAAGAGATTATATCTTAATTACTAATTTAGAATTTTTTTTTTATGCTATTAAAGTTTTATGGAGGTGTGTTATTTTTGCAGGGATTTGCCAAGGTTGAAATGAAATCAATGTTTTCTGACTTAACATTCAACAACATCATTAGAATGCTGGCTGGAAAATGTTACTACGGAGACGGTAAAGAAGATGACCCCGAGGCCAAACGCGTGCGAGAGCTTATTGCAGAGGCGATGAGTTCTTCTGGTCCTGGAAACGCTGCTGATTATATACCAGTCCTGACTTGGATCACATATTCCGAGAAACGGATAAAGAAGCTCGCCAGTAGGCTTGATGAGTTCTTGCAAGAATTGGTCGATGAGAAACGAGAAGGAAAGGAGAAGAGGCAGAACACTATGGTTGATCACTTGCTTTGTCTGCAAGAAACCCAACCAGAGTACTACACGGACCGCATCATCAAAGGAACCATGCTTGTAAGTAACCAAGAAGAGGTTTTTTTTTGAAGTAGCCAATGGTCACATTTGGTATGAAAGGACTAGTTTATGATTTTTTTTCTTTCTTGTATATGTGCAATGTGCAGTCTCTTATAGCAGGGGGGACAGATACATCAGCGGTAACATTGGAATGGGCATTGTCAAGCTTGTTGAACAATCCGGAGGTACTGAACAAGGCGAGAGACGAGATCGATAGAAAGATCGGTGTAGACAAGCTTTTGGAGGAATCAGACATCCCAAATCTTCCTTATCTTCAGAACATTGTATCTGAAACGTTACGTCTGTATCCTGCAGCCCCCATGCTGCTTCCTCACGTCGCCTCTAAAGATTGTAAAGTTGCGGGATACGATATGCCACATGGCACGATGCTATTGACTAATGCATGGGCTATACATAGAGATCCTCGGCTATGGGATGATCCAACGAGCTTCAAGCCAGAGAGGTTCGAGAAAGAAGGAGAGGCTCATAAGCTATTGCCGTTCGGGCTAGGTAGAAGGGCATGTCCTGGGTCCGGTTTGGCTCAGCGGCTAGTGACCTTGAGTCTCGGGTCTTTGATTCAATGTTTTGAGTGGGAGAGGATTGGAGAAGAAGAGGTAGATATGACTGAAGGTCCAGGACTCACAATGCCTAAAGCTAGACCGTTGGTAGCCATGTGCAGAGCACGTGTCTTTGTTGGTAAAATCTTACCCGAGTCTGCTTAAGTTTGTATGTAAATAAATGCTAATACGTTGTTAAGCAGCGGTAACTTATCAAAGGAAACGTATTAAAGTAAAAATCAGAGCCAAAAATAGTATTCCAAAAATAACAGACTGTAACATTATAACAATGTTGATGATTGTTCAGTTTTATCAATAAAACAAAGTATAGTAGGTGGATTTTGGACCAGTATGGCACTATGCTAGATGTCAAATAAACATTCTTATTAGAAATCCTGCTAAAAAAATAAATTAGAATAATTATTAGGTATCAACATGATTAATGGGCACATGTGATTTGGCTGAAAAAAGATTCCGTTTTCAAAATCAACATCATCCTCTGTTATAATCCCATCTCGTCGAGGAATAAGAAGTCAAATATGGAAGGTCAAACCCTAATTTTCACATTCCTTTTCCTATGTCTATCTCTCACATTCCTCATTGGAAGAATCAAGCCAAAGCCTAACCTTCCTCCGAGTCCGGCTTGGGCGTTACCAGTGATAGGTCACCTCCGCCTTCTCAAGCCACCGCTCCACCGAGTTTTCCTCTCCGTCTCGCAATCCCTAGGCGACACTCCGATCATCTCCCTCCGTCTTGGCAACCGACTGGTTTTCGTTGTCTCTTCACACTCAATCGCCGAGGAATGCTTCACTAAGAACGACGTCGTACTCGCGAACCGCTTTAACTCCCTTGCTTCAAAACACATCTCATATGGCTGCACCACCGTGGTTACAGCTTCGTACAGCGACCACTGGAGAAATCTCCGCCGTATTGGCGCTATCGAGATATTCTCGGCTCACCGGCTCAATAGCTTTTCCTCCATCCGCCGAGACGAGATCCGGCGGCTTATAACTTGTCTCTCACGGAACTCTTCACTCGTAAGTTAGTTCTTTTCCGCATAATAAGATTTTATATGAAAATAATTCTCCAACCAAAAATGCCAAATTTGAAATAGATTGGACCTTAATTACTAATTTTGGAAAATTTGATGCTAAGGCCAATTTATTTTAATCAGAATCTGTAGTCTCTAGTAAATCTCTTTTTTTTTTTTGTTGTTGTTGTGAATTTTGTGAATGATTTAACATAGGATATATTATAAATGTTGCAGGAATTTGCAAAGGTTGAGATGAAATCAATGTTTTCTAACTTAACATTCAACAACATCATAAGAATGGTGGCCGGAAAATGTTACTATGGAGACGGTGCAGAGAATGATCCGGAGGCTAAACGCGTGCGGGAGCTTATCGCGGAGGGGATGAGTTGTTTTGGTGCCGGAAACACTGCTGATTATTTACCGGTCATGAGTTGGATTACAGGTTCCGAGAAACGGATAAAGAAGATCGCTGGTAGGCTTGATGAGTTCTTGCAAGGATTGGTCGATGAGAAACGAGAAGGGAAGGAGAAGAGGGAGAACACAATGGTCGATCACTTGCTTCGTCTGCAAGAAACACAATCCGAGTACTACACGGACAACATTATCAAAGGGATCATGCTCGTAAGTAACATTTTTAAGTTCATGAGTCGATTTAGCCAAATTGTGGAAATAATTAGTTTTGTTTTCTTGCAGTCTCTTATACTAGCGGGGACTGATACATCAGCAGTAACATTGGAATGGACATTGTCGAGCTTGTTGAACCATCCAAAGATACTATGCAAGGCGAGAGAAGAAATCGACAATGAAGTAGGCTTTGACAGGCTTGTGGAAGAATCAGACCTCTCACGTCTTCCTTATCTTCAGAACATTGTGTATGAGTCGTTGCGTTTATACCCTGCAAGTCCCTTGTTGGTCCCTCACGTGGCATCAGAAGACTGTAAAGTAGGAGGTTACGATATGCCACGTGGAACGATGTTATTGACTAATGCATGGGCTATACATAGAGATCCTAAGATGTGGGATGATCCAACGAGTTTTAAACCAGAGAGGTTCGAGAAAGAAGGGGAGGCTCATAAGCTAATGGCGTTCGGGCTAGGAAGAAGGGCGTGTCCTGGGTCCGGTTTGGCTCAACGGCTAGCTAGCTTGACTATCGGGTCTTTGATTCAATGTTTTGAGTGGGAGAGGATTGGTGAAGAAGAGGTGGATATGAGTGAAGGTGGCGGAGGAGTCATAATGCCTAAAGCTATACCGTTGGTCGCCATGTGCAAAGCACGTGCCTTTGTTGGTAAAATCCTCGACGAGTCCGCTTGAGTTTAGACTTTTGTCCTACTTTGTCAAATGTTCGAATTTGAACCTTGTGCTTCTACGTTCTAGGGCTTTTGTGTCGAACATTTGTGTTGGACAAGCTGGTGGGCTTTTTTATATAGTGTTTTTTGGGCTTTTATGAACATACGCCCACAAACTATATAATATATATTTTTTAAATAATATTTCCTTGAATGCATTCCGATATATTAGCCCACATGTATTAATCTTCAAAACAATAGTAAAAAAGAGAGACGAAGAAAAAACAAAGAGCCCCAAAACAAACAAACAAAATGGATTTGACCCAAATCTTGATCCTCTCTTTTCTGTCTCTTTTTGCCTCCGCCATATTCTTGCTCACAAGATCCAAACGGAAACTGCACCTTCCTCCGTCTCCGGGGATCTCCTTGCCAGTGATCGGGCACCTCCACCTTCTCAAGCCACCGCTTCACCGGACGTTCCTTTCCCTCTCCCAATCCATCGGAAATGCTCCGATCTTCCATCTCCGCCTCGGAAATCGCCTCGTTTATGTCATCTCTTCACGTTCTATCGCCGAAGAATGTTTCACAACGAACGACGTCGTTCTCGCGAACCGTCCCAAGTTCACGATAAGCAAGCACCTCGGCTACAACGCCACCTACTTACTCTCGGCATCTTACGGCGATCATTGGAGGAACCTCCGCCGCATCGCCGCCGTCGAGATATTCTCCACTCATAGACTCAATTTGTTTCTGTATATTCGTAAGGACGAGATCCGACGGCTCATTTCACATCTCTCTCGAGATTCCTTACACGTATGACCTCCTTAAATTCTTTGTTTATTATTTGTTTCGTATTCATTTCACGTCTACTTTCATCTACATACGTTTATATTTATTGTGACTAGTTTATTTTTTGCAAGCATTGCGTGTATATTATGATATAGCTAATTATTCACGAAAGTCAACTGATCACTATATAAAGATGCTGTATAGGTTCTGATTGTTTTAAGTTGGTTTATTATTTGGTTATGTTAAAAAAAAACACATTCTTCTAATATGTTGAGGCGGCAAACGGAAATGCATATATAATTAAATGTTTACCAAAACTCTTATCTGTTTACTACTACTCCTAATTGTATTCGTACTCTCAGGGATTTGTGGAGGTAGAGATGAAAACATTATTAACCAATTTGGCATCCAACACCACCATCATAATGTTGGCCGGGAAGAGATATTTTGGTGAGGACAACGATGAAGCTAAACTCGTGAAGCATCTTGTGTCGGAGGCGGTGACCAGCGCCGGTGCAGGAAACCCCATTGATTATCTTTCGATTTTACGTTGGGTCACGAGTTATGAAAAACGAATCAAGAATTTGGGAAAGAGGTTTGATGCGTTTTTGCAGCGATTAGTCGACGAAAAACGTGCAGAAAAGGAAAAAGGTGAAACTATGATCGATCGCTTGCTTGCTCTCCAAGACATTCAACCTGATTACTATACGGATGTCATCATCAAAGGAATCATACTTGTAAGTATCAATCAATAAGCAAGTACACGATATATATATAAGAAAGAGTTTAATGGTAGAAATGTGTGTAGACTCTTATAATTGCAGGGACAGATACGTCATCAGTAACACTAGAATGGGCAATGTCAAATCTGTTGAACCATCCAGAAATACTTAAAAAAGCGAGAATGGAAATCGATGAAAAAGTTGGTCTAGACCGGCTAGTAGACGAATCGGACATTGTAAATCTCTCTTATCTCCAAAACATTGTATTGGAAACGCTACGTATGTACCCTGCAGTCCCACTACTACTACCTCATTTGTCATCAGAAGATTGTAAAGTTGGAGGATATGATATACCAAGTGGAACAATGGTGTTGACCAACGCATGGGCCATGCATAGAGATCCAGAGTTATGGGAAGATCCGGAGATATTCAAGCCGGAAAGATTTGAAAAAGAAGGAGAGGCTGAGAAGCTATTCTCATTTGGGATGGGACGAAGAGCTTGTCCTGGAGCCGGGCTGGCTCATAGGCTAATAAACCTGGCTCTTGGAAGTTTGGTTCAATGTTTTGACTGGGAAAGAGTTGGTGAGGAGCTTGTGGACATGACCGAAGACAAAGGAGCCACATTGCCCAAAGCTATACCATTAGGAGCCATGTGCAAAGCACGTTCTATTGTTGGTAAACTGATTTAAATGTTTTACTTAAAAAATGTATTCTATTTAATGACAAGTTTTTATGTTTTTAAATATGTGTTTTGGTCGTCCCTCGATCTTTTGTTGTAACTTTGAATCTTGTTTAATAATCGGCTTAATGTCCACCCTCGATCTTTTGTTGTAACTTTGAATCTTGTTTAATATTATCGACTTGATGTCCACTACTTGTCGATATTAGATCAGCATTTGTCCAAACTACGGCTGAAAATTTAATTTGTTAAAATCAAAATAAATTGAAAATTGCTTCCATCATATTTGAACCTATTTAATTTAATTTGTTATAAATTGTGGAACATATTCTAAAAACACGTCATATTGTTATTATTATTTTATTTTGAATTCCACGTCATAAAATTTTGATGGTTAGACTTAGACAAGAGGCTAATCGATCTGAACGGTAAAAATTGATAATGAGGTTGGAAGGTGTAGTAACCTTTCTCTCCATGAATTACATAAAGTAAAAAGTTTTCAAGACAAATAATTTATAACTAACAGACATTATGTTGAGTTTAAACACATGTAAGTAATACAATAAGGACAATAACACAAATCACTAGGTATATGACTGGCTTTTTATTTTATTTTTTATGTCGGCAGATGTACTGTCTTTTACATATTTACATATTTTTATCATTTTCCCTTTTTAGGTAGAGCAATAAGAAATATTTTTTTCTTAAATTCCCTACAAAACAGGAAATTTACCTAACTTTCTTATTGAAAGTGAATTATTAGCTTCTCTTTCAAAGCAGGTTAAAATCTTAATCCAACCATTTCCAAAATTTCAAGTATCTTTCGTTCTCAGTCAATTAATTTTCGTGTTTTAAAAACCACAAAGTACCCCATCAGGTCCATCTCGATCCCACACACGACACAACTTTACAAAAAAAGAAAGACCAAAAAACAAAGAACGCAATCAACAAGAAAATGGACATCACCCAAATCCTGCTCCTCTCTTTTCTCTTTCTCTCTATCTCTATCAAACTCTTGTTCACAAAATCTAACCGGAAACCTAATCTTCCTCCTTCTCCGGCTTACCCTTTACCGGTCATCGGCCACCTCCACCTCCTCAAGCAACCGGTCCATCGAACATTCCTCTCCATCTCTCAGTCCCTCGGTAATGCTCCGATCTTCCACCTCCGCCTGGGAAACCGCCTCGTTTACGTTATCTCCTCACATTCCATAGCCGAAGAATGTTTCACTAAAAACGACGTCGTTCTTGCGAATCGTCCTGATATCATCATGGCCAAACACGTCGGCTATAACTATACCAATATGATTGCAGCACCTTACGGCGACCACTGGAGGAATCTCCGCCGCATCGCCGCCGTCGAGATTTTTTCTTCTCATAGAATCAGTACTTTTAAGTCTATCCGTAAAGACGAGATCCAACGGCTCATAACACTTCTCTCTAGAGACTCCCTACACGTAACAACTTTCTTTATTTAACTAGTTATTTTATCTTTTCTTATTTAAGTAAATAATTTAATTTTTTTTTAACATCTATAAATCAATTTTTTAAAAATATTTTGTCCATGTGACATTGTGAGTAGGCATTTTCTAGCCTTCCTTATTTTATTAAATCAGTACGTATATTTAATTATTTATCGCTTATTGACCGACAATAATATGTGTATCTGTTAATTTGTAAAATGAACAAATAAAATTACATAAAATGTGGATGAATATTATTTAATTCATTTATTAGGATAGCTTTTTTGTAAATATTTAATGTTACACAAGTAATAAATTTGACTAGTAATCGATCGTCACACAGGGATTTGTTGAAGTGGAGTTGAAATCATTGTTAACCAACTTGGCATTCAACAACATCATCATGATGGTAGCCGGAAAGCGATATTACGGTAGCGGTACAGAAGACAATGATGAAGCCAAGCTCGTGAGGGAACTTATATCGGAGGTAATGACCGGCGCCAGTTCTGGAAATTTGGCTGATTATCTTCCGATCATAAACTGGGTCACAAACTTTGAGAACCAGACCAAGATTTTGGGGAATCGACTTGATAGATTCCTGCAAAAACTGGTTGATGAGAAACGTGCAGAGAAAGAAAAAGGTCAAACTTTGATCAATCATTTGCTTTCTTTCCAAGAAACCGAACCCGACTACTATACTGATGTCATCATCAAAGGAATCATACTCGTAAGTTCATATTAACTAATATTATTCTATATATAATATATGGAGTGAGTTTACTTATTAGAGATATATATACATAGGCTCTGGTAGTTGCAGGGACAGATACATCTGCAGTGACGTTGGAATGGGCAATGTCAATTTTGTTGAACCATCCAGAGATACTTGAGAAAGCGAGAACGGAAATCGATGAAAAAATCGGTTCAGACCGGTTAGTTGAAGAATCAGACATTGGGAATCTCCATTATCTCCAAAACATTGTGTCGGAAACACTACGTTTGTATCCTGCGGTTCCACTACTACTCCCTCATTTCTCATCGGATGAAGGTAAAGTGGCGGGCTACGATATGCCACGTCGCACGTTGTTATTAACAAACGTATGGGCGATGCATAGAGATCCAAGTTTATGGGAAGAGCCAGAGAGGTTCAAACCGGAGAGGTTCGAGAAAGAAGGAGAGACTCGAAAGCTAATGCCGTTTGGGATGGGACGACGAGCTTGTCCTGGAACCGAGCTTGGGAAGCGGTTAGTAAGTCTTGCTCTTGGCTGTTTGATTCAGTGTTTCGAATGGGAGAGAGTTGGTGAAGAACTTGTGGACATGACTGAAGGCGAAGGGATCACTATGCCTAAAGCTACTCCGTTGCGAGCTATGTGCAAGGCACGTGCCGTTGTTGGTAAAGTGATATAATTAACCTGTAAGATATAGTTTCGTACATCCCACGTGTTCTTTTTTTTTTTTTTTTTGAGAAATAAAAGTATTATGTGGTCAATAACTTGGATGCAGAGCAATAAAAGAAATAAAACTGTTTCCATCTGTTGATTAGAGTAATATTTATTGGTCCAATGTTGGTTTCTTGAAATTTATAATTGGTTCGGTCATGTAATATGGCCTACTCTTAAAACTGGGCTTTTGTTGGGCTTTGTAAATTTTTTTGTCTCTCTCTACATTTTAAATTGAATACCCATTAACAAATCAGTATATATGTTCTTCACTGTCTGAACTAGTAATTCACAATTAGCTAAAAGTCAGCTTTCTTTTGGACAAAATGACCGTCGTGAATAACGAAAAGTTTGGATGTCATGTTACTGTTGGTACCGAATCTGCCACGTTTTGATGATTATAGTTGTAAACAATGTCAACCAAGCAATATCATTGTAAAGACAATAATGGATGGAAATCTAAGAATTCGATTAGATCTTTATCTTATCGAGAACTTTCAACAAAGCCTTTTGGATTGATTAAATGAAAGAGACATATTAAGACCAAAAAATAAAAAATAATTTTCCTTCTTAAACAAACTCTTGTATAAACACATTAATAGTTGTGCATGTTTTGCCAAATTAATTAATTCGCTAATCTTTTTACTATCACTATTGTATGCACTATGTTTTTGTTATTTGACTTTGTAAATGCATGAATTATGAGTGTTCAAAAATCACTACTCTATAATACTATTTAATGGCGTAAGGAGGAGAAACCAAAATATACACAAGTCAGAGAAAAAAAAGAAGAGCAAAGGAGTTATGGATAATTATATTTTACTTATTCTCACCATCGTTGTTACAATTCTCATCACCAAGATTTTTCTCCAATTCGCTAAACCAAACAAAAACCTTCCACCGTCGCCACGTATCTGTTTTCCAATCATCGGACACCTTCACCTCCTCAAACAGCCACTGCTACACCGGACTCTAAGCCATCTCTCGCACTCCCTCGGCCCCGTCTTTTCTATACGCCTCGGCTCTCGCCTCGCCGTTATCATCTCGTCTCCAACGGCAGCAGAAGAATGCTTTTTGACGAAAAACGACATCGTTTTAGCTAATCGGCCTCGTTTCATCATGGGCAAGTACGTGGCTTATGACTACACCTCCATGGTTACGGCTCCTTACGGTGACCATTGGCGAAACCTCCGTCGTATCACCGCCTTAGAAGTCTTCTCCACGAATCGACTCAACGGCTCAGCAGAAATCCGACAAGACGAAGTTAAGAGGCTTCTCCAAAAGCTTCACGGTTTATCTGTCGAACGCCCGGCTAACGTAGGTTTATCTTAAAAAAAAATCTTTTATTCTAATTCATTGAAAATTTTAAACCACACAAAATTTATATGATATTTTATACTTGTGTAGTATATATGAGAAAATAATTGGAAAAAAAATTCGACTGCCGTTACATAATTAATCATATGTTTTCACGTTGCATTTTTTTTGTTTATATGATTTTTTATATATTAATGACTTCAATTTTAAAGAAAATAAATAGCTTAGACTAAGAATTATTTTAGAAAACAATAGATTACAGTTAATTAATAATATTTTTAAAAAATAATTACATATATGTAATACCTGAATTGATTAATATTATTTGAATTAAAATTTTATAATAAGTTCCAATTTATATAATTTAAATTTTTATTTGAAAGCTTTAATCTTGTTCAGATAACAACACGATTAGGTATAAAATTTGCCATATATTTATCATTAATGTTAAAAAAATTTTAATCGTTGAATTACGTATGGATATTAATTGCTTAAACTATATTTGCTTTTTTTTTTTTTGGTGATCGATAGGAGACAATTAGCATTTACTATTTAGTAAGTGGAACAAACAGTTCATGTTCTTTCCGTTGCAATCAATTTTAAAATCTAAAAAGTACAATATATATCTTTAAATGCGTTTTAGTTTTAATTCCGTGTAAGGATAAACCAGTTAATTAATATCAGGCCATAACAAAACAAGAACTTCATTTTTTATCTAGGTGGAGTTACGACCGTTACTAACTGGTCTTACCCTAAATGTGATAATGAGAATGATGACCGGAAAGAGATTCTTCGAAGAAGATGAGGGTGGAAAGGCGGCGATAAGCTTGGAGTTCCGGGAACTAGTGGCGGAGATTCTAGAGCTCTCCGCGGCCGACAATCCAGCTGATTTTTTGCCGGCTCTACGGTGGTTTGACTACAAGGGTTTGGTCAAGAGAGCAAAGAGGATTGGAGAAAGGATGGATAGTTTATTACAAGGGTTTTTGGATGAGCATAGAGCTAACAAAGACAGATTGGAGTATAAGAACACCATGATTGCTCATTTGCTAGGTTCTCAAGAAAAAGAACCTCATTACTACAGTGATCAAACCATCAAAGGTCTTATACTGGTATGTTTTTCTATATTCATGCAGTCTTGTTTTTCGGTATATATAAAATTTCATATAGGGAGATGATAATGTAGTAGTTATAGTGATATTGACACTAAATCACCTTTCCAGTATTGATTTGATCTCTCAACCTACCGCTAAAAATAATTGAACAACGAAGACAAATAAATCAAAAAGCAAACACGAAAGAGTTAATACTTAATATTGGTCCCATATTTATGTCAGAATGATGGTCCATCTAATTACTCGATTTTTATGGAATAGTGGCAAAAACTAAAAATCAAAAAGAACAATTACAAAACAGACTGAATTTTTCAAAATAAAGGATATAAACCATTTTCTTTAGATTTTGGCTCAACATTAAGTTTTATAGGTTAGGGTTTATGATTTACGAATTCAAGTGTAGTGTTTAGATCTTATAAATAGTTTAGGTTTTAGAGTTTATAATTTGAAATTTACGGTTTAAATTTAAACTATTTTGTTGATTAAAAGAAAATCTAAACTATTGTTTTGAGTTTGATATAACTTTAGAATACTTTCATAATTATTATTATTTTTTTATTTTTTTAGATGATGGTAATAGGAGGTACGGATACATCGGCCTTAACCGTAGAATGGGCAATGTCAAATTTATTGAATCATCCACAAGTACTAGAGACCACGAGAAAAAACATTGATACTCAAATGGAATCATCATTATCATCATCAAGTACTCGTCAATTGTTGAAAGAAGAAGATTTGGTGAACATGAACTACTTGAACAATGTTGTGTCCGAGACACTAAGGCTTTATCCTGTGGCACCACTTATGGTTCCTCATTTGCCATCTTCTGATTGTGTAATCGGTGGGTTTGATGTTCCACGTGATACGATCGTGTTGGTTAACTTGTGGGCTATACATCGAGATCCAAGGGTGTGGGATGATCCGACGTCGTTTAAGCCAGAGAGATTTGAAGTGAGGGATCAGTTTGGACATTACAATGGTAAGATGATGCCCTTTGGGTTAGGGAGACGGGTTTGTCCCGGGATGAGTTTGGCTAACCGGGTTGTTGGGTTGTTGTTGGGTTCGATGGTTCAGTGTTTTGAATGGGAAAGTGGCTCAGGAGGTCAGGTTGATATGACTGAAGGTCCAGGACTTAGTATGCCTAAGGCTGAACCATTGGTTGTCACGTGCAGACCACGTGAGATTGCTTCCGAGTTGTTGTTCACTGAATAAGAATGTCTAGATTAATTTTATAAAAGGGTATTATAAGTTAATACATTATATGCATATAATACAGTGATTTAGATTTTGGTTTGTTATACACAAAATGGTTGGAGACACTTTTTTTTTTTTTTGGCCAACTGGCATGGGACTATGTGTTTATTGTAATCATGTAATGTCATATGTAATGTTGGTTGAGATAATATAGTCCACATAAATTTGTTCTTATCAAGTTATCATGGATATTTTGAAAGTTATAAAGTTGTTCTATCACTATTAAATTATTATTATAACCAGAAATTATTTTTTTAATATTTTATTACCATAATATCAAGAAACAGAACATCTGGAACAAGAAGATAAAGCAGATGTTTGAAAGATCAATTCAAGAACTCTCGCTCCGGTTTGGTTTAGAGGAAGACTCGGAATCAAAATCTTCCTCCGCCGCAGGAATCCATTCGTTCGTCGCCGGATTGCTTCTGTAAACCGCTTTTTCTCCTCCGTCTCCGATTGCGGCGGCGGTTACGGCCTCGGTCGCTTCACCTCCGTCTTCCTTGACCACATTTATAAACCCACTTCCGGTCTAGTTTCAGAAACAGAACACGTACAAAATTAGATTTCTTCTGATGAAATATTTAAGAAAGAGTGAGAAAGAGAGAATTAAAACCGTGTGATGTTGCTTATCAATGGCAGTGAGATTTGTGTAATACTCTGTTTCCGAGAACTCATCTTGAACTGCAGATGAATCTCCCTCACCTAGAACTTTACCCTGTTTTTTGAAAACCAAAATCTTAAATTCAATGACAATGTTAGTTTATGTGAAGAGAAGAGATTGGGTTTTAGAGAAAACCGAACATGAGTTTGTGACTGGAGAGATCTGAATTTGTCAGCTTCAGGATGGTCGGTGGTTTGGTCGGAAGCAGAGAAAGATCCAGGAGGTCCCGGTTCGCTTCGAGTTGGTTTAGTGGGTCGTTTGGGAGCCAAGGAATCGAAATCAGCTCTGATCTGGTTCGCGTTCTTGATCTGTTGATCCGGGTCGGATATTTCGTCGCTCCGACTTGGCTTCATCGTACTCATCGTCTTCTCTGTCCACTGCTTTACAACACAAACATGCAAAAAAGAGAATGGATATGTGCTCACTGGTTTTTGGTTGTGAATTAAAAAGAAAATATAAATGGGCTTTCAATGGGCTTTTTGTTCGATTTTTTCAAAACAATTTCATGAAAATGGGCTTTTGGTGGGCTTTTGATTGATTTTTGATCATATCAAAAAGGGGGGACGTGATTTAATAGAGGTCAATAAAAATTAAAAATAAAAACTTTTTGAATATTAATTACATACATCCGCCAGAGATAGACTAATTGGATGAAGTTTTCTATTAATTTCGTAATTACCGGGCTTTTTAGGATTCGATCGAAAGCTGGATGGCAATATCGTTATTGTCGAAATTAAGCCCCACTCAGAGAACACTGTGTATATGAAGCTTTCCATTTCCGGCTCCTATGGAAAGACAATAAATTATTTTTTAAACGTCCTTTTAATTCCCCAAAGGCCAACACTTCGAACCAAAAAAAAAATTAATTTTTTTATAAGTACTAAAAAACGTTTGCATCTCATCAAAATTCTTTTGAATCACGAACTATAGTTTGCGACAAATTTTAATTCCAATTATGTAGTAAAACCTGAATAAATCAATGTCTTCTTTATAAGATAATCATGTGGCTTGGCTGAGTTGGCTCATTTGTGGTATCCTGATTCATGTCGAATTTGCATGCGCATGGTTGATGGCTTGACGTAGATCTCAAAATTAAATTTTAAATTCGATCGATTTATTGGCACGTACTATACATTGGTGCTTATGAGAAGGAAACCGACTATTGTATGATCAAAGAATATCACCCTTCTAAACTTTACATTGATCTTTAACGACTGAATAAATATAATAATCTAAAAAAAAAAAAAAAAAAAAAAATATATATAATAATCTATAACCAATGAAAATATAATTCTATAACCTAATTAAGCTAAATAAATATCGAAGTATACGAAATAATGTTTTGTTTTGGGTTAGTATTTTAGTGACCAGCACCTCTCCTGCTCGGTCCTGAAGCCATTGTATGCATCCTCTCTCCAGCCGAAGAGAGCCACCTTAACTTCTTATAACCATGTATCACGACCCCTAATAAGTCTTCACTCCGTAAATCGACCCCATGAATTTTAGATTGATCAATTTCCTCCGTCGAACCACCAAGGAGAACTCTGCAATCGGCGGTTCTTGATTCCGAAAAGGCCGAGACCAAGAACATGACCGTAAAGATCAAGCCAAAGGGTCTCATTTTTTGGTGTGGTTGTTCGGTTCTTGGGGTTTAGGGTTTAAGACAATGAATGTGTTTTGGTGATTGATAGAAAAGGAGTAACAAAGGAGGAAGTAAAGCTTTATATACAAGTGTCGAAAGATTCAAAGGTAGATGGAAAAGGATGGAGAGGAAGGAAGATAGGAGTTTTCATTAGAAATAAAGTAATACAAAAAATAATATAAAAAAATTGTGAGGGAATATAAAATGGAATAAGGTGTAAAATTAGACCCTCGAAATAAGGGGATGGTGCAGGCGAATTAGTAAAAAAGGACGGTCTCTAGCTTCCTTGGAAATGGACCTTTAGAAAAGTGTTAATTGTTTTTTGACCAGCTAAATTTTATTATTTTAGATATATGTTAATAGCTTTAAATCTAAAAGTATTATAGTTTGATTGAGAAATTAATGTATATTTGCATTTATTTTGTTTTTTCTGCTTAAGATATGAATATGAAATTAAGGCATGCAGAATATTAAGTTATGGGATTTGTAGCGAAAAACAATATTTTGGGATTTCTTTTTGTTTTGGCATCATTTTGGAATTTGTTTATTGCTTAAGATACACAAGATTCCAATGAATCAATCTTCCAAATGACAATTCAAGTTGTAGTTGGTAATTTAAAAATCCCGACTTTTTGTTAGTGGAGTTAGGCAAGACTATATCAATATTTTCGGTAACATGGTTTCATGATCTTAAACATTTATACCGACAAGGAGGTTAGTAATCACCAGGTAAACTTTGCAATAATAGCCAAATGAGTATAAAAGTTAACCAAATGAAAGTACTAGCTAGACTACACCTATTTGGTCTCATATTTCTATCATTTAAAAAAATTATATCAAACTAATTAATATTGCAGATAAAGTATGAGTGAAGGTTCTCTTATTACAATGGCTTTTGTTGATTACTGAATTTAAACTCTACGGTCGTGGTTCGTGGATCATCGACTCGGTTTTAAACATTAGAAATTGGAAGAGTACTGATGAAGGTAGGGAACGAATGCGTAGTTGTGACGTAGGAGGAGGTAAGAGAAATAAAGTACGTATTTTATCTTACACTTTCACGAATAATTTGATCGGAATAAATTTGACCATACGAATCCTCGAGACTTGTTCTGCATAGAAGAACGTTTTCCTTGTATAGATTATTAAAAAAAAGAGTTCTTAAGATAGGTGAATTAAGAACTAATGCATGATTTTTTTTTTTTTTTTTTTTTATGCATGATTTTTTTAGTACTGTGCAAATATAAAAATAAGAAACACAAAGATCAAACCAAAAACAAAACCATAATCATAACTCCGCGAAAATTATAAATGATAAATCTAGAAATTATTATTATTTTTTTTTTTTAAAAACGAACAAAACATAATTGTCATAGTGGCTCGTGGGCATGAGAAAAAGAAGGGAGATAACATAGACAGACAAATTCGGTGGTACAGACACAAAATACTTGTATGGACGGACGGACTCTAACTTTGCTTCATAGTTGTCATGACAACAATATTGGCATCTATCTTCTTCTTCTTTTTCCCTTTTTGTTTTTAAACGTCACTTCCCCACATGTACCCTCAATTTTTATTTCATTATCAATCTTGCATCTTCGAATCTGTGTTTATATAATCGAGTTCAAAGAACTGAAGTCCATATTTATTTTTAACTTCGAAATGTGTAGAGACTTATTGTTTTTAGATCTGCTATTTGAATGGATTGAAGATTTGCTTTTATATGGGTTTGAGTAAATCACGATACTACTTGAAATTCTTTTGTCAAAGATATTATTTCAAGAATTATATTAATTTCATATAATTGGACGGAATATAAAAGACTAAAATCTAGATAATGAATTTATTAATGCAGAATTTGATTCCAATATTAATGGACTACCACGTCCGAGCTATACATAGTTAAACATTTTTTCTTCTTGTATGTATTATTCTGGCGTGGTCTTACGCCACTACTAAACTATATTATTTTGGCCAAACCAATAATATAAATTAAACATTGAACCGGGTTTTAAGTAATTTGTTTGTAAGTTTATTTAATAATTGTTTATTAAAAATAACTTATTTAATAATTTGAAAGATTGTGAAAGAGTTTCCTGATGTTCTGCAATTTGGTTTCTTTGTCTTACTCTAACTGCGGATAAAAAGGAGCGATTTTGCTATAAAAAGGAACAGTTTGAGATGATATTACACTTTATTCCTGTAAATTATTTGGCTACCATCAATAATATATTCTTAAAAACTATCAATCTTCCTTTTTTTTAGAAAAAAGTAAATTTCATCAAAACTCTGTTTCAAAAATCATTTATGAACTCGAGACTGAAAAATGAGAACTAATTCAACATAATATAGCAGCAAGAGTTGAAATAAAGACCAATGGTTTTGAAATTTCATAGGATAGATTTCTTTTCTCTACCTAACAAAAATTAAAAATTTGGATGTTGAATTTTGAGTAGTAACGTTTGGTTGTTCAATGTTTTTGCAAGAAAAATCACGTGCGAAGGAACTATTTTTGGTCGTGCAAGAAAAATAACAGCAAAGTGTTTGAACTTTTGAAGCATTGATGATTAGGTTTGGTGTATCTAACAATATTATAAAACAAATACGTGAGATCCGATTTATAGTCAAATTCGCTCATGTCACTCCTTAAATCAGCTGGTAGGATGACTTTATAAACTTTGCTAGTCTGAAATTCAACACTTTTTTTTTGGTCTACAACTACAAATCTACCTTAAATTTTAGCTGCCGTCTGCTCCAAACAATGAAACTTTATGTTTGGTCTACAATATTATTCTTTTATTTCTAATATTCACTTTCTTATCCTTTCCTCATTGATGGCTTTCACTAATTTTTGTTCAATAAATACACACAAAATTGAATGCTCAAGAAACAAGTTGGTATCTTCCCAGAAAGCAGCATAACTAATTTCAATGATCACATTCTTTTCAATTCAAACTTAGTCAAGAATTACAATTCAAACTTTGCATCTCCTTGAACACTACTATATAGTCACATACTAAACTCACAAAACACTCACAACAAAATTCGTTATCTGCTAAAGAGAAAGAAAAACATTTTTATTTTATAAACAGAGAGTTAAATTGTTCTTAAACATGATGATGAACAAAGCCGTTCTTGGCTCGATCCTGGTCTTCATGTTGATCGGTTCGGTTCTTGTTGAGAGTCGTCCGCTTGGTCTAACAAAGACCGAGGAGAAGCTCGTGGCTGGTTTCTTCGATGGCTTGTCACTTGGTTCGATGAAAGACTCAGGTCCGAGTCCAGGCGAGGGTCACAAGGTCGTGGAACGTAGGGATACGTTTCGATTTGATAAGCACTCCGGCCCAAGCCCAAGCGGACCGGGGCACTAATGTTTCAATCTTTGGTTCAAACTGGGCCCGTTAAAGTTCCCATCTCCGTCTAGGTCAAAAAGAATTATTTCATTTTTTGTTTCAGTTTCAAATTTTCAATAGTCAGAAAATATTATACACTGATACGTATAGCAAAAACAATAATTGATGTCTCATGTTTCTTCTATATTTAGGATTATTGGTTTGGTAGTTAAATAAAGTTATTTGAAAGTATACAAATACAATGTAATAATCCAAGTTATTTTATTATTTGAATGTAGTAATAAACATCAATGTACAAAGTGATTCTAAATACTCAAAATTCTAGTAGTCAAAGAACCGAGTCCAACTCTTCAACCACCAATAAAGCATAAATTAAAAAGGACAATGCTTTCTAAATGGGCGACGAGTGCATTTAAAAAAGTTTAAGAGTTCTAATCGAACTATTGTGAAAGTTAAGGGACTCAATTGAAAGATTATTTAATTACAACATTAGCCTTTATATTATTAAAATTACAACATTAGGTTTTAACCTCGTGGTCGTGGATTCGGCAGTTTGAGTCGTAGAGTCATTATTAATATCTAGACGGTTAAGAGGTGCCTTGTGATGTGAAGATCTTTGCCTCTCGCACTCGCTCTCGCTCTCGGTGACAATGGGAAGCTCGTCGAAGGAAGAGACGGCGAGTGACGGAGATACGGCGAGCGGTGGCGCCTCACCGTCCAATGACGGCAGACTCTTCTCGGAGGGCGAACGTGTTCTCGCCTACCATGGTCCTCGTGTCTACGGAGCCAAGGCAAATAAAAACTCTCTCTGTTTCTCTGTGCTTCGTCGGATATTCGCATAATTTGAATTCTGGAGATTATCTTGTTCGTGTTGATTTAGCAATTCTTGTATTTCACGTGGTATTGCTTGTATGGTTTCGTTTATCGGGATTGGAATTGGGATTTCTCTGCTAGATTTGGCTTATAGATTTCTTAGTAGATTTCGTTTTTAAGTTACGAAGATCCGAAACTTGAGGCAATTGAGTTTCAATTTGAATGTTTCGTCTGTGTTTGGCGTAATTGATTTATGGAAGGTGATTTATGTAGCATTAGCGATTTGAGATTGGAATTATCTGAAATGCTTAGTCGCAATAGATGCATAAGGACAATTTACTTTCGTTAGAGCAAGTAATTCAAGAAATTACCGGGAAAATTTTGGGAAATAGGGCAAGCTTATCTACTTGCATGATTAATTTTTCAATCATATATCTTCTCTAGCAATAGGCCACTGGATTAGTTTTTTAATCTGTCATTGCATAGTGTTTCAGTATGGCCAGACCTGATAGATTGTTGACATTCTATTACAGGTTCAGAAGGTCGAGCTTCGAAAAAAGGAGTGGAAATACTTTGTTCACTATCTTGTGAGGCCTCCTTCTTATTCTGTTTGATGTACTGAATGTTTCAAAAATCTAGATTTTTTCATTTTGCTCAGAGATTTTGGTTTGCAGTAATAAGTGATACAGCAATCTGTGTCTGCAGGGTTGGAACAAAAAGTGAGTATCTCTCTGCTCTCATGTCTATTCTGGTTTATGTATCAAAATCAGTAGATTGGGATCCATGACATGAATGTCTTGCCAACAGTTGGGATGAATGGGTTAGCGCGGATAGGTTGTTGAAACATACTGAGGAGAACCTTGTGAAACAGAAAGCTCTAGACAAAAAGCAAGGAGTAGAAAAAGGTACCAAGTCTGGGCGTTCGGCTCAGACAAAAACTAGAAGCTCTGCAGGTGAGTTTATGCTGTTTACTATCTAATACAGTATTAATTCTCGGTTGTGAAAATAAATTTATCGTATCCCCATTTCTGCTGGCTTGAATTTGTTAATGCTCACAGAAGAGTCCTTATCCAGAAGGCCTATTGATATGTTAATTATCTGGCTGCATGTACATAACTGTGTAAATTTTTACCCCCACATTGACCCTGTTGAGAGTAGATGATACATATTTGGTCATCCATGCTAAGAAACTAACTATGTTTTTCTGATCTTGCACTTGCAGACACAAAGGCTGATAAAGATGACACGAAGACCAATGGTAGGCAACACATTAATTTTCCCTCTCTTTGTAGTTCAGGGTTCACCCAACAATTTCCAAGGATTTGATTTGATATCTATAAATTTTTGAGAAAAAGTTAGATTAGATGCAACTTAAATTATTTGAGTTGGTGTATAGATGATTACATTTTCTGTTGCAGCTGCAAAAGGGAAGAAACGAAAGCACGAGTCCGGCAATGAGGTCAGGCTTGTAAAAACTTAGAGATGTACTTGATTTCATTTTAGTACACATCTCTAGATTTCGTGCTTCAGCTCCACATTGATAAGATTACCAAATGCTTGTGCATACCTGTTAGGTCTTTGTTAAGATTTTATTTTACAATACATTAGATGGCTGATATATACACATATACAAACAGGGTCAAGTTATTATACACATATACAAACAGGGTCAATTTTTCAGGTCTTCTAAAATCGATAAGGTTCCTATTGTATAATTTTGAAATCTATAGAAGGATAACGTATCGGCGGAGAAGCTAATGAAGATCCAAATTCCCGCAACACTTAAAAAGCAGCTCATTGACGACTGGGAGTATATTGCGCAGAAGGACAAGGTATCATCAATTTACTCTATTTTGTGCACATACTTGTGGCACGATTAGAATTGTTATTGAATCAGCTATACTTGAAAGTTAAGAGATATAAGTGTGTATTTGTAGTCGAATGAATTATATATACCAAAGTGAAGGAAATTGATGTTTGGTACTGTCTTCAAATGATTATATAGGTTGTGAAACTTCCTCGTTCACCTAATGTCGATGAGATATTGGCCAAGTACCTGGAATTTAAAACCAAGAAGGATGGAATGTGAGTCCTTTACTCGAACACAGAGTTTGATATATTTGATTATTTTCCGAAATCCAATGAATCAAAATTTTGTGTTTCTGTTTTTGTGCAGGATAACTGATTCGGTCGCTGAAATTTTGAAAGGCATAAGGAGTTATTTCGACAAGGCATTACCAGTGATGCTCTTGTATAAGAAAGAGCGGCGACAATACCAAGAATCAATCGTGGATGATACTTCACCTTCAACTGTTTATGGCGCCGAGCATTTGCTCCGTCTCTTTGGTAAAATCTCAGTAAGTTCTTATTCGGGTCAGTAAATTTGATGTTCTGAAATTTGATGTTTGCTTTTTATAAAAATCTGCAGTGAAGTTGCCAGAGCTTCTTTCATATGTAAACATGGAAGAAGAAACATGGAGTCGCATGCAACAAACATTATCAGACTTCCTCAAGTATCTATCTAATCTCTCTGTTTAACTACCATTTCGATATCTCCGTTTTAACAGTTAAATTCACAATTTCTGTAAAAAAAATATTTACAGGTTTATTCAGAAGAATCAGAACACTTTCTTGCTACCATCAGCATATGATTCTGATAAGGTTTCAGATGGTAAAGGCAAAGGAAAAGACGACTGACAGCTCCAGAAACAAAAATTTGTTGTAATTTTAGAATTCCTTCATTTTTCTGATGAATTCATAATTGTAAGGTACATTTGCTGAGATTTGTAGCTGAATATGAAATCTTTTACAGGCCTTTGAAGTTAACGATTTGGTTCGTGTAATATTTATTTTAGTGTTCAATAAAAAAAATTCGAACAATGGAACCTTGGTTTGGTAGAAGGCAACAAAAGATGGAAAAAATAAAAAGTCTATGAATGAGATGAGATTAATATATGTGGCTAATGTTATCGGAATAATTATATTGGCTCGCTCCCTCTGTTATTCTTCTTTTTCACCAAGACGACTCTAATAATACGCAGAGTTCGCGAGATCAGAATCAATGGTGGCATGAAAAACGACGCTTGAGAGCTCAAATTCGTCGATTATGGAACCTGCTACTCTTCCTCGTTCTTCCTCTCTTACTAAATTCCCTTATCGTCGCGGTTTAGCTACTCTCCGACTCGCTCGAGTCAACTCGTTCTCAATTCTTCCACCTAAAACTCTTCTCCGTCGAAAACCTCTCCCTCTCTCTATCTCTGCCTCCCTTAGTCTTCCACCACGGTCGATTCGTATACGTGCTGTCGAAGACCATCATCACGATCATCATCATGATGACGAGCAAGATCATCACCACCATCATCATCATCACCAACACGGATGCTGTTCTGTGGAATTGAAAGCGGAGAGTAAGCCTCAGAAGTTATTGTTCGGATTCGCTAGAAGCATCGGATGGGTTCGATTGGCTAATTACCTCAGGGAGCATCTTCACCTTTGCTGCTCCGCCGCCGCAATGTTCCTGGCTGCCGCCGCGTGTCCTTACCTTGCTCCTAAACCTTACATTAAGTCTCTTCAGAACGCATTTATGATTGTTGGTTTCCCTCTTGTTGGAGTATGGATTCTATAGCCTCTCAATACACTATAAGCTCTTTTTTTTAATTTATCCAGACGATTTAAGAAATTTAGTTCCATGGGTGTATGTGTTAGGTTTCAGCGTCTCTCGACGCACTTATGGATATAGCAGGCGGAAAAGTGAACATTCATGTATTGATGGCACTTGCGGCTTTTGCATCTGTGTTTATGGGGAATGCTTTGGAAGGAGGATTGCTTCTAGCTATGTTCAATCTTGCTCATATTGGTTAGAACTTCACTTTATAAGGATCAGGGATATGTCATTGTTAATGTCTGTCGTGACGCGAGAGGTTTGAGCGTTTGTCTTGTCATTTTTCTGCAGCCGAGGAGTTCTTCACTAGTCGGTCAATGGTGGATGTTAAAGAGTTAAAGGAGAGTAATCCGGATTCTGCACTGTTGATCGAAGTTCACAATGGCAATGTTCCAAATATTTCTGATTTGTCATACAAAAGCGTTCCTGTGCACAGTGTAGAAGTTGGATCCTATATATTGGTTGGAACTGGTGAGGTCTGTGAAACTTTTCTATTTGCTTTCATTACTTGAAATTCTTAAATATGTGACCCTGTATGTCATTGCTATAGATTCCGTGGTTAAGTAATGGATTTTTTTTTTGTATTTAGATTGTGCCTGTAGATTGCGAAGTCTACCAAGGTAGTGCTACTATAACAATTGAGCACTTGACTGGTGAAATCAAGCCATTGGAGGCAAAAGCTGGAGATAGAGTGCCTGGTGGTGCAAGAAACTTGGATGGCAGAATGATTGTGAAGGTTATTTTTACATATTCTCTTTGCTTTGGCTTGTCTCTTATTTGAAATCCTCAAGCTTATCTTATTCCATGGAATTTCTAAATCAGGCTACAAAGGCATGGAATGATTCGACACTTAACAAAATTGTACAGCTGACCGAGGAAGCACATTCTAATAAACCCAAACTTCAGAGATGGCTGGATGAGTTTGGTGAGAATTACAGCAAGGTTGTGGTTGTTTTGTCACTTGCTATTGCCTTCCTAGGTCCATTTTTGTTCAAGTGGCCTTTTCTCAGCACCACAGGTAAGATGTCATGAATCTTTGCTGATGTGACAAACTATTCTTGTTATTTTAATAAGATATATCACCATTTGGAGAATTGATAAGAGTGACCTTTGCCTTCTTTTCTTGGGATGGGAAATTGATTGGCTTATTTTCATTGCTTGTTAATGATACAGCATGCAGAGGATCTGTTTACAGAGCATTGGGACTTATGGTGGCCGCATCACCATGTGCTCTGGCCGTAGCTCCATTGGCTTATGCTACTGCTATTAGTTCCTGTGCAAGAAAGGTATCGTTCGAGTACTCTATGTGATCACTTTTGAGCATTAGTTTTATATGTTGTCTTGTAGCAAATTAAGCTTTATAAGCTAAAGAATCTTATGTACATCAAAAGACAATGGTGAGGAATGAATAGTGCATATGCTACAACATCTTCTGATCTATGAAGACCACCGATTTCCTTAAGTTCAACAAACTGTTTGATATCATTAGTATTTAGTTCCTATTGTCCAAATCCAGTTGAAAACATGGTTTAATTTCTTTTTCTTGCTATGTAAATGTAGTATCTTCACATGTAAGTGTGTAAACCTACCTTGTGTAACTTTTATAGGGAATATTGCTGAAAGGTGCACAGGTCCTAGATGCTCTCGCGTCTTGCCATACTGTTGCTTTTGACAAAACCGGGACCTTAACAACCGGCGGCCTTACTTGCAAAGCAATTGAACCCATTTATGGGCACCAAGGAGGACATCATTCAAGTGTAACAACTTGCTGCATTCCAAATTGTGAAAAAGAAGCTCTTGCTGTAGCGGCTGCAATGGAGAAGGGCACCACACATCCTATTGGAAGGTATTGCTTGTTTAGCATCAACTACTAGTATACAACTTAATTACCGCAAACTCTAGAACCATGCAAGTTTTTATCTATGTGCCTCCCATCAGAAATTTTCAAGGGTAGGATGGATAGAAGTTAGAACTGGCACGTATCTATAACTCATGGGAAATAAGTTATCTTGTTGGATGGTACATTCATTTCGGGAGATATGTTGATGTAAAGAATTTTAGTCCTACATCTAGAAATTATTCTTATTTCTAGTCCATCATAACAAACGGATGAAAGGAGGGGCATAAAGACTTTGAACGCTATGAAGCTCTCTATCTCTGGTTTTTAGACTTTTTTATTCGTTTTAAATGATTCTTGGTCTGGTAAGAGATTGGGATTGAAGAGTACTATAGCTATTTTCTGCTGTTTCACACATTTGATCTTGCTGCAGAGCTGTTGTAGATCACAGTGTGGGTAAAGACCTTCCTTCTATTTTTGTTGAAAGCTTCGAATATTTTCCTGGTAGAGGCCTTACTGCTACTGTAAACGGTGTTAAGGTGCGACACAGTTATTTACTAGATTCTTATAAATATCCATTTATCTACTAGTTTTTATAGTGTGTGGCTGTGTGTGATGTGTGTACATCTCTGGCTTTCATTCTCAAAATATCTGATGTTGTCTCTCACTGCATTTTTTGGCTTTATAATAGTCAGTAGCTGAAGAGAGTAGATTACGAAAAGCATCACTTGGTTCTATAGAGTTCATTACCTCGCTTTACAAATCTGAAGATGAGTCTAAACAGATCAAGGATGCTGTAAACGCCTCTTTGTACGGAAATGACTTTGTTCATGCCGCTCTTTCTGTTGATCAAAAGGTATACTACGACTACTTCTTTAGCTGGTCCAAAAAACCTCTTTCCTACTTCACAGTCAGTGATTTTAATCTCTCATCTGACCATTTATTAGTCCATAAAAATCTCTGCATCACTGAAATTTATGAGCCTTGCAACTAACTTTTTCCAGGTAACATTGATTCACCTCGAAGATCAGCCTCGTCCAGGGGTGTCAGGAGTTATAGCAGAACTTAAAAGCTGGGCCAGACTACGAGTAATGATGTTAACTGGGGACCATGATTCAAGTGCTTGGAGAGTTGCAAACGCAGTGGGTATTACCGAAGTCTACTGCAACCTAAAGCCAGAGGATAAGTTAAATCATGTAAAGAACATAGCTCGGGAAGCAGGTGATACCCACTCTCGCCCTAGTTCCCAATCAAAAACATCTATCAAGAGGCTGAGAATGGAGTTTTGTGATTTTTGTTAGGTGGAGGTTTAATTATGGTAGGAGAAGGGATTAATGATGCTCCAGCTCTAGCAGCTGCAACAGTTGGGATTGTTCTTGCTCAACGAGCGAGTGCCACTGCGATTGCTGTTGCTGACATCTTACTGCTTCGAGACAACATCACCGGTGTTCCGTTCTGTGTGGCTAAATCCCGGCAGACGACATCATTGGTAGATAAAAGAAAAAAAGTCTTTGTTCTTAAGCCAGTTTCAGATGTAAGATTGTCTGATTTATCAAGTATTAATCACGATGCAGGTCAAGCAAAACGTAGCTCTTGCGTTGACATCGATATTCTTGGCCGCTCTTCCCTCAGTTTTAGGGTTCGTTCCATTGTGGTTGACGGTACGTAAGCTAATACCCTCTACAAACTTTTCCATCATTTACCTGAACGAGAGACTAAACCGCTACTAACCGGCATTTATGTGGGATTGTGATCATAGGTACTTCTACATGAAGGCGGGACTCTTCTCGTGTGTCTAAACTCAGTACGTGGTCTAAACGATCCATCATGGTCGTGGAAACAAGACATAGTTCATCTAATCAACAAGTTAAGCTCAAAAGAACCCACCAGTATCAGCAACAACAGTTTAAGCTCCGTAGAGCATGCACATTAGGTAACTTTGTTGTTCTTTGTCTAATTATTCTGCAGAAGTAATAAACTGTATTGTATGATCGCTTATGTAACATCAAAATCGTATATATGTTTCGTTTCAACTGGTTTCTTCAGGTGATGTATATTATGTCACGTGCTTATATTTACTACTTTTGGTTTATGTTTGCTTCCTCGTAACAAACCCATAGAATAAAAAAGTTTGAGAAGTGTTTTTGACTTTTCTTCTTCAAATTTTCTGTAAAAAATTGTTAATGATCTTGCTTTGCTTATAATTGAATCACGAAAGATCATATGGAAATACAAAACATTTTTGATTTCGCTTCCTCCTTTCGTCTCTACTACTGGCTCTATACATGAAAAGCCTGAAACTTTTATTTCCCTGAGAAACAGAGGGAAAACTTGTTCTTCTCACTCACTACTCCATCTTCCCAATTCCGATTTGGTTCACTATAAACTCTCTAAACCCAACACGACGGCTGTTTACACTTTGTGGCATACACGAACCACCACCACCACCACTTCCTCCGCCAGAACCACCGACGTTCCCTCGCTGTAAATCCGCCATGTAACTCCTCACCTCAGTCCTAATCATCTCCTGAACCACCGTCATGAACTCACCACCGAATCCACCAGATATCCCTTTCCCTTCTTCTTCTTCTACTTCCACTTGCTCTTCCTTTCTAACCGGAAACAGCTCCGCCGTGTAACCACCATCCATAACCGTATTCTGGTTTAGTTGAACCGGCTCGTTGACTCGAACCGTCTCCTCAGTCCAAGGGAGAGACAAGCTAAGATATGTCGGAGGATCTTCACCAGACGATGAAGCAGTAACCTCAGATCTAACCGTCGGTTTAAACACGTGTGCACCACCACTAGATTGCTCGCTGACGTCAGATCCCGATGGACTTCCGGGACTCATATACAACCCAGTCGACACACCACCACCACCACCACTCGCCGTACGTTTCAACGGTTGCTCTTCTCCTAAATTACCATCATACCCTCCATTTCCACCAAAATCACAACTTTGCCCTTCGACGCTGCATTTTCGCTTGAGCGTCGAGTTCCAATGATTCTTGATAGCGTTATCGGTTCGTCCATTAAGAAGACGAGAGATCGTAGCCCACTTGTTACCAAACCGAGCATGAGCTCGAATAATCGTCTCGTCTTCTTCCTGAGAAAAAGCACGGTGCTCAACCTCCGGAGATAGCTGGTTACACCACCGGAGCCGGCAAGATTTGCCGGAACGTCCAGGGATAGATTTGCTTATCAAAGACCAGTTTCTCGGACCATGTTTCTGAACAAGCCTCTGCAACAGATCGTCTTCTTCTGGACTCCATGGACCTTTAATCCTCTCCATATTCTTTCGGGTCGGGTTTGACATCACCGGATCTTTTTATCGGACTGTTCTGTTTTTTCTTTCTAACGCGTCCTCTGTTTTTTTCTGGTCGTTACAGTTTTTTTTTTTTGTGTTGGGAAGAAAAAAGCTTTTTTGTTTAAGAGGATAAGAGCAAGAAGAGAGAGTATTTATACGAGAAAGGAGTGGGCAAAAAGGGTCACCGGTTCAACCGGTAATCTTTTCTTATCGATTTAACAGAAACGATATTAAACTAGTTAAACTTTTGCAGTGTAATATTATTATCCTTAACTTGCATAAAAATATCTAACGTCTTATTAAAAACAAATTTTATAAAAGGAAACAAATAAAACCGTTTTCTCTATTAATAAACAGAGATTTGCTCAGTGTTAAACGGATAACTATGGTAGTTCAAACAAATTTAAAAGAAAACGGAAAATTATGATCGTTACTCGTTAAACAAATTTGACTAATTCAGTCAAAAAATATTTGACGGATTAATTAATCCCTTAATTTAAACGTATGATTAACTAATTGTTTACATGTTCATAAGTATGTGTCCGTACAAAACGTTTGGTTACAAAAAATGACAACATTTACGTGTTTATGATTGGAGCAGATATTTTATTTTAAAAAAAAAACACGTTGGCGATTGAAAAGTGCGTTTAGGGCGATTAGCGTTTGTGTGAGGTTAACATCGAGCGTGGAGAGCAGAGAATCTTCCAGGAAAAACGGTTGGGACTTGGGATACAGCTGTATATTAACACGTGTCAAGTAAGTATATGTACTTTGAGTTTGAGATTTGCTTTTTTTTTTGAAGAATAATAATATTATTATTGTTCTCTTTTTATTTTTCAGAGATTTGTTTTCTTTTGTAGAGAGAGTACGCTCGTACACAGGAGCGTTCTTCCACTCTCTTTTTTACAGGTGGAGCGTTTTTACCCAATCATTTCGTTTTCCCTCTAAAAGCAAATTAGTGACACTCACAAAAATATCGTTTAACTTCTACGTTTTTTCTCTCTATTAATAACCTTTTTTAAATCATTCTCTTTTTGAATATTTGTTAACCTTTTCGTATTTTAAAAAACTTTGAAACAATTATAGAAGTAAAATGAATTCAAGAATGGCATTGTATTTTAAATGATGAAATTTTTAGTATGTATATTAAATTTGGTAAAAAACTTGTAAAAATTAAGAACATGCTGGAAATATAGATATTGCTTTAAAACTAGTAAGTGCAACAAAAAGACTACATAGAAGTCAATAAAAAATAGCCGAAAGTTTTTGTGTTATGAACTAAAAGTCTTTTGATATGTTGTTTTCAATATTTTACACTGTTTGTTACATGTCACTGTCTCTTGTGTTTTGATTGATATGTGTGGTTTATTATATAAACGAACGATGGTCCAATATACAAATTTTGCTTAAGATGTAAATTGTGTCGGTGAAAATAATGTAGACATTGTAGTCGTTGACAGCAAGTTCTAGGCTTCTAGCTACATGTAACAAGTGAATGTAATAGTTTTTTAACTATTGAAACAAATACATACTTAGAAAAGATATCATTAGATTAAATATGAATCTGGCAAGTTATAAATTGTCTTATAGAAGAACAAGTAAATGGAATATACAAGTTTTTGTTGTCATGGTTAATTACTAAACCGGTACAACTTATTTAACCAGAAATCCAAGGGTAAAAACGCGTGTGGGATGATATTATTTATTATACACAGAGAAGCAACCTTTTTCAGGATGTGTAACTTGTACTATTTTATCTTTTTTACACAAAAGTGTGTGTAATTGGCAGAAAGAAAGAACCAAACCTAACAAACTGAAATTCAACAAATATCTAGATATTCATAAATATCTAAACCAAGCCCACTTCATGCAACTTCACATATCTAATTTTCATATACACATGAGATTCATAGTTTATAAAAAAGCTCAACCCTCCAAAAAAAAATTTTTGTATAGTTTATAAAAGCTCAACCATTTGAGCAAAACAGTTGATATCAACATATTATAGTAGTATCAAACTTGTGGAGGTAAACAATAATTGAAGTATATGGTAAAATAATGTATGATATAATTAAAAAATGAATGATAAAAGAGAGCCCAAAAAAGAAAGAAAAACAAATAGTAGAAGATAAGGATGAAGTTAACGGTTAGGTATGAGGTTTTGGTTCGATTCGGTGACTTTTTGACTGAGGAAGCCAGCCTGTATGCCATTATTAGTATTGTTATATTTTATTTATTATTGTTATTTGAAAATAGTTATCATTATTATTATTTTTTGGATATTTTGCCGATCTCAAAATAAAGAAGAAAAAGCAAAAAAAGAAAAAGATAGGCCAAAAAGAGACAGTTGCTTACGTGGCGCAAAACGACAAGGATAGATCGGAAGGCTGATCGTTACCACTTTAATTTTCTGATATTATGTTTTTTTTTTTAATAATTAAAAATATTTAAAAACAAAAACAGGCTGTAAATCTCTGCCTCCCTTTAACGGCCACTCTCCCACCTGCCGGTCACCCACCCACCCTTTTTTTTATATATACTTCACTAATTTAGTAATTTACCATTCTTTTAAAACTTGTGTTTGGAAAATAAAAAATACTTTGGTTTAGTAGTTAATCAAGAAATTTATAATTTCTAGTACTTGTAAAAACACGAATTTGACGTTATTTTAGTTTTTAGAAAATGTGGTATGACAGAGGAAATACAGATGACGATAAAAATTGTTGAACGCAACTTTTATAAAGTAAACGTGTAGAGTTATACTAAGTAATTATGTTTTCTTTAGAAGGAAAATTAAATAGAATAACTACTATATCTTACTCGTATATTCAAAATATGAAAGAAAAAAAAAGAAAAAAACTTAATGTAGGAGGTGTTGAATAAATCGTAGTCAACTATGTATGCTTTTAAGTGAGCGAAGAATTGTATTCGAATAATTTATTAAATGCATTGTCATTATTTTTTTCTATAAATGGATTATGTAACCAACCAACGGTTCAGAAGTCATTTTTAACCATAAATTTATTTATTTTTATGTTATGGTCAATTTGAAATGCATTCAAACCATATATCGACCACCAACGTTACAAAAATCGTAGATACTAGAATTCATTTAGCTAAAGGAGCTAGTTCATGCATGGTCAAATGCCATTTATACATTAGACCATTGGGTAATGATTTCGAGCCTAATGATTTATGTAAATATGGACGTGTCACTTATAAAATCTCTTGTATAGCATTAAGAAAGATTACTAGAATCGAAATTCTAAAGTGTGAATGGTAAAAGATAACATTTCACACAATTGTCGCATTATGTCAACTTTTCAACCAAAACGACAACGGTAACACAGCATTTACGTTTGAACCGCAGTGAATAAATAAATATACTCAAAACATTTTAAAAAGTATTAAAACTGGGATCTGTCAAGTGTACGGCACCGGTAAACAACTAATCCAGCCGTGTACTGCAGAGCACGAGGCACATGCTCCGATGCTAATTAGGGAAGTTTCTTGCGACCTTCCTACTCTTTGTTACTCGATTTAAATTAATTAATTTAGTATGATTTGATTAGCATTGAAAAGTATCCATGAGAAAGGAAAGAAATAAAAGGATAAGATTCGGTCATCAGAATTAATTGTTTAATTAGTGTTGAACCAAATTGTATATTAGGCGATATAATTCATTGAGTGAACGAAGGGAGACAGATGGACAAAACTGTGTAATTAATGGAGATACGGTAAGAGATCTTCCGTTTTAGGTACATCGTACCTATTACCTAATTTATTCTCTATAGTTTTTATTAGTTTTTGGTGTTTAAATTCTACCAATCACTTCGTTGAAAACTACTAATTTAATCGTTACTAATGGAAATGCCAATGGTGTTAAGTTTAATCTCGTTCAACCAAACCAATTCATTCAAGTTTCTGAAAACAGACTTTTGCGTGTGTGTGTTTTTAGTTGATAACTGAAAACAATTTCTATCGATTTTAAAATTTATTGTTAATTAACTTATAAAAAAAAAGCTGATAGATGTTACAAATTAACTAGCATTTACAACAACCAAAAAAAGTCATTGGCAAAGTGGTAAAAAAACTGATGGTTTTAGTTTGTGGGATTGGCTCAACCGAAAAGAGTTAAGTATTTCGTGAGCTAATTAATTTTAAACAATACTATAGAACCGTAGCACGGCAATTTACAAAGAGTATTAGAAATGATTTAGCTTGGAAGAGTTAAGAGGAGTGAGTACAAACTATAGAGTATTATATCAAATTAAAATAACAATTTGATCTAAAAATTATCAGGAAGCAAATTATTCATATTTAATCGCTATCTATAACGAAAACGTATTAGATGTTATACATAAATATGTGTGTATATGTGTATCTGTGGTTCCCAAATAATTTTATAATTAACAACTTTTTTTTTTTGTGTCGTTCAGTAAAAACTCCAATCAGGCCACTATTTACTATACCCTGATTGATCTCATAGATGTAAATATACTGTTCCATATATCCACTGAAACGTAGTGTCTACTTTTTCGAAAAATGCATGTGAGTACATATGCATGGTGCCTTGCAATGGAATTTCCCAAAATAGCTTATAATCTTTATATAATTATAACTTTGTTCCAGGTTCAGCGTATGTTTTAAGACCAATCATATGAATGTTCATGCATATATTAGTTCCATAATTATTATTCAAAGATCTAGTAATCCAAAATCAGAGATTTGTTGTAACGATATTGTCTGGAATATCTTGTAATTAGGACCTAACAAATACCGATTCACGAGTTCGTCCAAGAAATGGAATATTATTAGGTGACCGTTTAATTTTGTTTAAGAAACTAAGATTCTTGTGATTTAATCATTTAAGAAAACGATTCTTGTGATTTTAACCCATTAATTTTATAAATGTTGCCACTGAACGAGAGGACACAAATATTTCGACGTGTGCAAGACATCAAAAGGTACAAGTTCATATTAAAATACTAGTGTACATTGAAATCAATGAAATGTAATTACACATTTTAGACGCAAGAGAACTATGATGCATGTATGTAGTGTATATGCAAGTGAATAACAAAAAATCTTTGTGTTATGAAATTACTCTCTCTAGGCAGTTTTC